AATGCAAACTCCTCAATCATGCACCGAGCTCTCCGACCTTGCCATGGGACAACTTCCAAAATGGACAATTTGAAATAGACTCCTCATGGCCCTACTATTTGTAAAGTTCCTCAATGGTGCAAATTCAATTGATCAAATGGCGGAAAGTCACAATGGTTGATCTCAATGAGTGAAATAAATTTAGGGTGTTTTTTGGTGTCCAGTCAAGTTAATAATGCATGTGAAGTCCACGCATGAGACGACATGACTAGTCAAAATGATCTTGAACCAATGTTCCAAATTTATATATATATATATATATATATATATATATATATATATATAAAAGGAATGATTTCAGGCCAAAACCCCCTGCAATCAGACATGTGGCCCTTCTACATTCAGATTTCAAAGATTTACACAAAATGGACACGTGATAAATTCTGATTAGTGTAGTTCAAGAAAAGAGCCTACTAACATGCAGAGTGGAGCTCACCACCATGCAGAGTTGTGAGAGGTGGGAAGCTCCCACTTTCAATCCTTTCATAAGAAAGGGAAATTGTGTTATTAATTATTGTTAACTATTAAACTAATTAGTTAATTCTAGCTACTGATTACTAATAATAATTACTGTTAACTACTTCTAATTAATTAATTACAACTATTAATTACTACTAATAATTATTGTTAATTATTAATTAATTATTGTTAACAACTTCTAAGTAATTAATTTCAACTAGTAATTACATATAATAATTAATCATTGATAATAATTAATTACTAAAAATAATTTATTATAATAATTACTACTATTACTTAATTGCTGATGATAATTAATTAGTGATAATATTGCTCATTATTAATTTGGAAAAATAATTTCTTATAATAATTACTGCTAATACTTAATTACTGATAATTTATTACAAACAATATTGCTCATTATTAATTCGAAATGGTAATTAATTAATGATAATTAATAAATATTTTCATAATGGTAATTAAGAATTCAGAAATAATCATTTTATATTTACATTAACTCATATTTATATTATAATTATTATCAGAAATTATAATTCATACATTTATATGAAATAATTAATTATATTATTATAAGTAATTATAATTAATAATATTATATTATTATTATCAATAATTATAATTAATTATTACTAATACTAATGATGATAATTATTACTTCGGAATGTTAATTAATTAATGATATCTAATAAGTGTTTTAATAATGTTATTTATTAATTGGGATATAGTCATTTTATATTAATATTAATTAATATTAATTATTTTATAAATATATAATTAGTGTTACTTATTTACATTATTATTATTTCAAGTAATTATAATTAATACTATTATTATTCTCCAATAAATACTTAAAGTTAAATTATAAAGATTTCAATTATTCAATATTGTTAAACTTAAAGAATTATAAAAGAAAATATTATTTTATGAATTAACTAAAAATCTTTATTATAACAATTTAATTACTTAATAAAAATAAAAATAATAATAAAGATAATAATAATAATAATATTATTATTATTAATATTATTAATCTATTAATAATACTAATTATTATTAAAAAATGTTAATAGAAAATTTTAATCACTTAAAATTATTTGCTGAAATTACCCATTTTAATTCAGACAGATAATTAATTATTAATTATTAATTTATTAAAATTAWTATTTACTGAATAATTTTAATTACTCTTTGATTAATGACCTTATTTTTGAATAATTGGTTTTTATGTTCAATATTTTTTTTCAAAAATCCAAATAATTTTTCATTTGCAATGCTAACCATTTTATTTTTCTATTATTTAGTTTTCCAAAAGATAAAAAATAATTAATGATATTTACCTATTTTTATCAAATTATGTATTTATCAAGTTGCTGTCATTGATGATGACGATGATGATGAGTCAACTTTTTGAAAGACAAGGGTACTAATAATAATTAATGACTTMTAATTAATTAATTTCAGCTATTAATTAATAATAATAATAACTCACTGATAATAATTAATTACTGATAATAATTAGTGCTAATACTTAATTATTGATATTAACTAATTATTGATAATTTATTACTGATAATATTCTCTTTATTAATTCAGAGTGATAATTAATAACGATTTTCATAATGCTAATTACTAATTCAAAAATAATCATTTTAAATTTACATTAACTCATATTAATTATTTTGAAAATAAATATTTAATGTTAATTATTTATATTAGAATTATTATCAGAAATTATAATTCATACATTTATATGAAATAATTAATTATAATATTATTATCAATAATTATAATTAATACTTATATTAATTAATATAGTTATATTATTATTATTATCAATAATTATAATTAATTATTACTAATAATAATGATTTCTGATAAAAATTAATTACTGATTTTAATTACTTACTGATAATTAATTCCTTAATTATAACAATGATAATTATTACTTTGAAATGTTAATTAATTAATTAATGATAATTAATAAGTATTTTAATAATGTTAATTAATAATTGAGATATAATCATTTTATATTTATATTAATTCATATTAATTATTTTATAAATACATAATTAGTGTTACATATTTACCTTATTATTATAAGTAATTATAATTAATACTATTATTATTCTACAATAAATATTTCATTTAGTGAGAGTTAAATTATAAACTTTCAATTATTCATTATTGTTGAACTAAAATAATTATAAAAGCAATTATTATTTCAGGAATTAACTAAAAATCATAATTATAACAAATTACTTACTTCATAATAATAATAATAATAATAATAATAATTTAATATTACTGATTTCAAAATCAATATACACAATAAGAATATATTATTAGTAAATAATAGTAATAATAATATACTTATTATTATTACTCATTTCATAAATATTAATATATTATTGATCTATATTACTCAATAAAGACATGGAATAAAAAAATATTCAAATTACCACTAAATGAATGATCTAAAAATCTATGAGTATTCTAATTGACTTGAATTTGACACATCAACATGTCTATAATTTCAACCTACATTTCCCTACCTTTTTCCTACCTTTTCCCTAAAGATAAATGCTAGACAGCTACGTGCACTATGGGGAGCTTAGACTTAAAATCCATAACCATGATCGACCAAAAGAAGCGTTTCCATCTAACTTGGAGGTGTCTTCCATACTAAGGATGGTCCCATTATTCTCCTTTCTTTCATGTTTCCTCTATTAGATGAGCTTTGAAGTCCTGTTTTTATTATCAGTTGATTGTAGCCATATATGATGATGATTTGATTGTAGTCATATATTTTTCATCTTTTACTTCAGAGGATGGATGCATCTTCAAATGTTGTTTGGCATGGATTGTTTTTCTTAACAGCTCTTGGAATGATTTTCTTCATTCTTTGCCTCTTTGAATGGATATTATTTAAATGCTTTTTATCTATTCATATATCCTTAAATATTAAGCAGTATTGGTGATATTGTCGTAAACATCCATCGAATTTTACTATTTTATAAATAGATTAATGATTTCAAAGTTATTGATACTTTTTTGGGGGTGGGTTGCTCAATCAGATATTGATTTTTTATTGTTAAATAGTAAATTTCAAACTAAATGATACTATAATTGCCCCTTACTTGGTATGGGATCATTGTCTATATAAAACATGGTAAGTCTCTTAAATCAAATGAAAAGCCTACCCTAAATGTCTATTATAAATAATTAAAAAATGAAATAATTCAAATTAAATCAAATAATTGCTTGCTGAAAATTACTGAATTAAGTAAATAATAATAACAATCAGTTATTTACATAAATAATTAATAATAATAATAACAATCATTAAGTACTTAATTAAGTAAATAACAAAAAACAAAATAACAATCATCAGTTATCATTAATGTTTATTCAAAGCATGCCCCATAATAATTACCGAATACAGTAATTAAACCTTAAGTAAGAATCAATATTTATTAACAGTCATTAAAATTGTTAACCCAAATCATTAATGTTTATTCTTAAATGCAAAATATGAATTAATAAATCTATTATATAATAATTATACTCGGTTAGAAAAATTATTTTAGGTAAATATTCAAATAATTACAAGTTTCGTTAATATTATTACTATATAACAAAAAATTAAATAAAATATTAAAATAAATTAATAACAATAATAAGAATGGTCAAATTAAAGTAATAAACGGTTCAAGCTGAATTTAATGACCCATATAATTTTACGGGTTTGACATATAAGGGTCAATTTATGTGGACCCGTAAACTGTATGAGCGTCTTAAAAAATGGCAGTTTATAAATAGTAATAAAAAATGGTAATAAAAATCATTAATGTTTATTCATATATATATATATATAATTAACTTCCCCGTATTTTAATACAGGGTCATTCACTAGTTTGTAAGAATTCAAGACACTTGATTGAACCCATCACGACATGTGGCGACACAAGGCTTGATAACACCTCATATCACTAGCAATAGCATCACTTGGGTTTCCTGATGGTAGCCGAACTAGAACAAGCCTGAATTGGGTTGCTCGTCAAGGACGTGCATCTAACCCATTCCACCTGACTTGGTTGTCTCCGACGTGAAGAACATACTACCAACCTAGGCCATCTCTAATGTGAAGGATTAGGGGTGAGCATTATTCGGTTAAAACCAAAAAATTGAACCGAAAATTTTAGTTTCGATTTTTTTTTTGGATTTTGGTTATTTTGGTTTTGTAAAATTTCAGTTTCGATTTCGATTTTCAGGTTTAGAAATTTGGTTAACTGAAAAAATCGAATTAACCGAACTTTATTATCTATAATATATATTAACATATAATACATATATAATGTGTAAAAAATATATTATATTATGCATTAAAATATATAATTTGTTATATACATTATATAATATATATTAAAATATATATACTGTTCAAATTCGGTTTTAATCGAAATAACCGAAAACCGTACTGTAAATTTCAATTTTGGGTTCAATTTTTTGTTTTAAAAATTTTGATTTATTCGATACGGTTTTTTATGGAATAAAYCGTTTGCTCACCCCTATAAAGGATGTACTCCCGACCTGACTTAATTCCAATATAAAAAAATGTAAGACCAACCTATACCACATGCAACCATAGATTGCCACCTAGCGGTGCTGTTACCCCACTTCCCCACTTAGCGAGAAAGTGGACCCAAGCATTCTCCGAGAATTAGGGATGTGCTTCTCCAACCACCTGGACGTATCCCACTAAGGCAAGGCGCCTATTGCACTGCTCGCCTTTCATCCCCTGTTCTAGTTGAGGCATGAGCTCTATATACATAAAGGTAAGCAGTTGCTACCCGAGGCCAATCTATTGCATTCTAATTCCTGTTTCAGTGCCTTACCACCTCGAACAGCTCGACAGATATTAACTTAACCATCAAAATCCATAGCTTTGGGACACCTAGCCAAGTCCTTCCACCATTGTTTTGTGAGTTCGAGGGTCCCTCACAAAATCAAGTTGATCACTTTTGATCTTCATCACTCATTAACACCAGCAATCCCATCATGCAAATTGAAAGTTGAAACCCAACTCAGTTTCTAATGAGTTTATCGGAACCAATGCCAATTGTTCGATTGGCAAGATTTGAGCTTAAATTTCCGGATCGTGTTATGAGTTTGGCCCAAACCCATTTATATTCTCTTTTTTACTAAAAGGAAAGGCTAAAAGCGGTTGCCACTTGCCAAATGCCGACTCCCAATTGACAAAGATTGGACCTTCAGCAGCCACCGTTTCAACGTCAACCTCCACGGACCACAGTCGGATAATCACACACACCATCACAGTTGTCAAACCAAACAAGGCAAAACTGAACCCTCCACAAAACCAAAGAAGAAAACAAGGAACCAGAAACAGATTCAGTGATCAAATCCTTATTTCATGGCAAGAAAAGACCCAGAGATCATCACAGAAAAGGATCTGATGAGGAGATGGTCAAGGTCCATGAGAGCTCAAGGCAAGACCATTGGCTTAGTCCCTACAATGGGTTACCTCCACCAAGGCCACATTTCACTCGTTAAAGAGGCCCAGGAACACGCCGACCTGATTGTGGTCTCAATCTATGTAAACCCTTGTCAATTCGCTCCATCTGAAGATTTGGCAACATACCCATCTGATTTCCAAGGCGATATCGAGAAGCTGAGGGCTCTGTCTGGTGGGGTCGATGTTGTATTTCACCCGCAAAACCTCTATGATTACGGAACCAGTGGAGCGGTATCAGAAAACAATGATGCCAGTGGCAACAGTTGTAGTAGTCAAAGTGGAGATGACAAAGAAAAGAGAGCAGAGGGAGCGGCAGTGTCGTGCATTGGAGAGAGACAATATGGGCATGAGACGTGGGTTAGAGTTGAGAGGTTGGAGAAGGGAATGTGTGGGAAGAGTAGGCCTATTTTCTTCAGGGGTGTTGCTACTGTTGTCACTAAATTGTTCAATATTGTGGAACCCGATATAGCTGTCTTTGGGAAGAAGGATTATCAGCAGTGGCGGATTATTTGCCGAATGGTAAGCTTTAATGGTATCCTTACTGCATGGTTGTTGTATATATTTATCAGAAAAACGATAATACTAGTGGTCGTATTGATACTAGTAGTAGTATGTGTTAGACAACATGTGATTGCTGTATATCAGAAGTCAATTCTGTTTATTTTAATGCTTACGTGTTTGATTGTCTTTGTCAGATTAAGCAATGGTTAAATGGAAGGTTATCTATCTATCCAAAAAGATGATTAAAAAAACCAAAAAGAATGGTTATTTGAAGAGTTGTGAGATAGGGAAACTGGAAATATGTTGTTTTTAAATGAAAAACTTTTTTAATTGTAGTCTCAGTGAACAATGCCAACGAGAAATTTGTGGTACCTCAACCAGCCATTGAATTTTGACTAATATTTTATTAGTATTTTTATGTGTTTGGATCATTTCTTCAGATTAAGATAATGGATTTGGATAGAAGAAGAAGTAATGAGTTAGCACTCTTGTTACTGATCAAAAAGGGAAAGAGAAAAGAAAGGAAAAAGGATAGCATTGAAATTTAACTAAGAATTTACGATCACAAAAAAATGAAGCAAAGTTCTTTGTGAAGGCAATTGGTGTTTTGACCTAAGCTTCTTTTTTGGTTCTTTTATTTTCTTTCTTTTAGGGGCAACGGATGGGGGTTGGGTGTTGATAAGTAAGAATCATTAGGAGAAGGTAAAGTTTGCAAGTAACATGAGCAACACAAAAACTGTAGAGTCTGCAAACTACAAGTTTCAAGTTTATTATGATCTACTATTCTTAGCATTCCAGTATGAGAGGTAGAAATAGCATTATAAGGGGTTTTGAAGAATCTTCAGTTTGGCTTATCAAAATTATATATGGCCATTTAAATCCTCTCTATAACAGACTTAATCATGGAGTATGATGAACAACTAAAGTTCATTTTAAGCTAACTATGACAATTTAGTTTTTTCTCTCATTTTTTTGGGTGGGTAGTGGGCGCTTGGTGATCTTTGGGTAATTTAATGTGAAACTTGTTGTGGTTCTGTTAAAAGCAGTCCCAAGGTTCTTTGTGGAGAACTGCAAGCATAAAGAAAACAATGATGAAAGTATTCTAATATTTTATGCAGTTTTCTGTTCTAATATAGTTGGAAGCTCATTTCGTCTTCTCAAACTGAAAACTGAATTGTTTTGGATGAGTATCCTCTCCTCACGCCTTGAATATTGTAATTGTATGCTTGTTTAAGCAATGTGTAGTTTCCAATTTCTGTCAGTCTTTCTGAATGGAATTCTTATCCTCATTTTTTTAAGTTTCCAGAAGGTTGTAATGAAACTTTTGTTGCATGGAAGAAAGCACAAGATTGTTCTGATGGAATGTTGTTACTTACCACTTGGTATTGATTCTCCTTCAGGTCCGAGATCTTGATTTCTCTATAAATGTGGTAGGTTCAGAAATAGTACGTGATGCTGATGGGCTTGCAATGAGTTCTAGAAATGTGCACCTCTCACCTGAAGAGAGAAAAAAGGTTAGTCCAGTCTTTTTCTTTCTTTTGCCTCCTCCATTTTGAAGCTTGAACTGCTATCATATGGATATGGATCTTGCTCCATATGTGATGAACAATATAATGTATACAAAATAGTGCTATCTTTCAATTCATTTATTTATTAGTTGGGTGGCATGTGAGATGCAAATGGTGGTTCTCTACGATGGGTAAATTACTTCTAATTCAATCCTTATTGTTTTTGAACACTAACCTGGAGGTGTTGTATGTAACCATGCAATAGAAGCAGGCTTATGGTTGATTAACATCAACGAAGATTTTAGTTCAACCCAAACCCTGATTTGTTCAGGAAATTGCATTAGCCTACATTTCTACCAGGTTAGCAAAGATATGAGAATGGAAATGTTCTTCCTTGAGTGACCTCATTTTGCAGAGATCACTTCTTTCTCTTGAACCAATAGTACAAGAGAACCCAGACAGCTTTGGTCAATAACAGCTTAATTCCAACTTTGGTCAATAACCCAAAATCAACAAAAGCAAAACACCTTCCAACTGATATGATCAACAGATCCAGGCTGCTGTCCCAATGGCTGGAAACCCATCTAAAATGTCAAGAACTCCAATCCCAAAGCCAAAGCACCTCCAACTAGTGAGACTGTGTGTACCATATAACTCAGTTTATATGTGAATTCATTTCAGGCATATTTTTTTTTTTTTTTGATTAACTATATGACATATCCTTCTGGCCAAATAGTTATGTGTATTATTGATTTCAGAAGCAACCTGGCAAGTCAAGTGCACATAGTATAAAATAAAAGAAAATGTATAATCTTAACAAGGAATTTTGAGAAACATAACCTAACAGATTTTATTTGTGTTTAAAGTGGAAAACTTGGAAAAATAAATAACTACTTGTAATAGAGTTGTAGAAATCATAAGAAAATAGAACATTATCATCTGCACAAACTAAGCTGAAAAATAAAGTACTTGTAGTGAGTGACAGAAAAAGGAAAACTGTATCACAGAACATGGAAGCAATTTTAAATTTAAACAGAACCACAACATAAGAGCCTAGTTTATTTATTGACCACAACATAAGGTCAATAAATAAATTTTTTTTTTGTTGGATAACTGAAAATCTTTTTATTAATAAAGAAAAAAGAAGTGTGTGGTCAGAACCCCAGTTTTAAATGCCTATACAATGTGCCCTTGCACCCCTTTTCTACTTTACATGATGTACGAAGTTTATAACTGTTCCATGAACAACTGCATCCTTGTTGCTCCTTGCTTAGCAAGTGAATCAGCCAAACAGTTAGTCGATCTTTTTACACAGTCTGTAACCTCTAACTCCCTTGACAGTATTTTTTTCTCCTTCTAAATATACCTGTACTCCCATAACTCTTTGCTCTTTGTTCTCATCCAACCCACCACTACCTTTGAGTTTCCTTCCATCAAAGTTGATTTAATTGAATTTTGATTCTCTGTTGCTGATTTAGCTATCCAATTGAACAGATCCAGTCTTCACTCATTGTGCCACCTTGTTTTTCGATAATTGAATAAGATTTTATTATCAAAAGATAGGAGCTGGTACAAACATCCCAAGGGGGGCACGAGGTGAAGCCACACCCTTATACAATTACATCTCAAGAGTGGAAATTACAACACAGCCTAATAAAGAATTTCCCTAGAAGCCCCTTGTTTGGCTAAGAAATTTACCATTGCATTAGCCAGCCTGCTCATCCATTGTATTCTAGTTGCCATATTCCTTGTTAGCCACTTGACTTTCTTTAGTAGGTCCCTATAGTGCCAAGTAACAGAATCTGGATTCAACATCCACCCCACTACTCCCTTAGAATCTCCCTCTATAATTAGATTGTTCACACCAGGTTGATTTGCCATCTGAATTCCTTGTACAACAGCTAGCAACTCAGCTCTAGCCCCTAGTAGAATCTCTTATTACCACTGGGCCTGAGAACAAGGATAGGATATTGCCTTCCTCATTTCTCAGAACCCCACCTACACCTGATAGCCCTGGATTACCCTGACTGCTCCCATCAAAATTAAACTTTATAAACCCTTCCAAAGGTGGAGACCAATCTACAATGAGCCTGTTTCTTCCAGTAGTGCTATTAGCCACTGCTAATCAATTCCCCCAAAGGTCATAGAAGATAAAAGACTGAATGGGGTTTAGAGTTCTCAGCCAGTGTATTACCCTGCTAGAATGCATTCCTTTAGCTCTGAAATAATTTTTTTCTTCTCTTGGAAAATTCTGCTGTTCCTCTCTTCCCAAATTATCCTTGAAAGTTCTGTTATTTCTCTCTTCCCATAGCACCCATAAAGTAGCTGCCATGTGCACCTCCATAACACCCTTCCACTCCTTCTATGCAAAGCTAGTGGAGAGACTATTAACTATTTACTAATCTCCTGCTTATTTGTGTCTCATGCTTGGGAGCATTTCTATTCTCCTTTTGTATGCAGGTGGGATTATCCTAAGGACATGGTTGGTCTTTCCAGCCTTGGTATTATGTACTAACTTAAAGTAAGAGGTAAAGTGCTGTGGAGGCCACAAGAGATGCTATCTTATGGACAATATGGGAAGAGTGGAATAATAGGCTGTTCCCTGAGCTAAGTAGATACCTTGAGGCTATAATTGAAAGCATTACATTGAAAATTATCTGATGGGCAAAGACTATGGAGCTACTCAAAAGTTTTTCAGTGGATAACATGGTTAGGGGTTGGAGAGTGGTAGCAGCCTCATCCATTGTGAAGCCTGTTTCTAAGTTCAATGGACTTCCTAGCAGTAACAGGATAAAGTTGATCTTTGATGGCAGCTCATGTGGTAATCCAGGTCCAGGACCCTCAGGCATTGGGGGTGTGTTTAGGGACAGTAATGGTTCAATAATTTAACTGTTTTCAGGCCCAGTAGGGATCGGAGACTCCCTTCTGAAATTTCTGCAGTGCTGCGCAAGGTCCAAAGAAAGAAAAACAACTTAATTTAAGGCAGTTTGAGGTAGGTAACTCTATGCTAGGGGTGCAAGTTGGGCGGGTTGGGCCGGGTTTATGGTCAACCCAGGCCCGACTCTAAAACTTGGGCTTAAGGCCCGAGCTCGGACCAAGCCCGAGGTCAAGCCCGATTTTCCCAACCCGAGCCCAGCCCGCACTGTAATTTTATGCACTTGGTTTGGGCTCGGGCTCGAGTTGGCCAATGAACCCACTCTAAAATTATACATATATAAATGTATTTATGCAAATATATATACATATATTTATGTATATATGTAAACATGTATGCAAATGTTATATATACAAATATGTATGTACATATATGTAAATATGTATGCAACATTTACATATATACACATATGTATGTATAAATGTATATAGTTGGGCTGGACTCGGGCCGGGTTCGGGCTACCTAAGGGCCAGACCCGAGCTCGGCTCGAAAAATAAATAAAGCCCCAACTTCTTGAGCCCGAGCCCAGCCCGAGGACTGAAAATCCAAGCCCAACCCGTGTAAAATTCCGGGTTGGGCCCGTTCGAGCTCGGGCCCAGCCCAGCCAAGTTGCACTCCTACTCTATGTTGGTGGTGGGATGGATGCAGAACAATAGTGAGGGGAGATGGATTTTGCTAGGAGGCTAGAAACGAAAGCCAAGCCAATTATACAACAGGTCTATTCTAGAAAGAAGAAGAGAGGAGTTATATTAGCAAATTCAGTTAACAATGTAGCAAATTGATCAAGAAATAGACCTCAGGTTGTTAAGATACAACTAAGGTGTAACTACCAATCTTGATAGAATGACCTGTACAGTACAAAAGACCAAAGAAATGTACCATTCAAATTCTCTCTCTCTCTCTCTCTCTCTTTCTCTGTGTCTTTTTCTCCCTTATCGAATTGATTCAGGTGGTAGTACCCCCTCGAAGAGGTGTCTAACAATTTGGTATCAGAGCTGTAGTGTCCAACCTAAGTTGAGATGTCAAATACCAGCTCGGAAATCGTGGAAGATTGATCCGACAGAATGGAGGTTGGGGTGCACAAGATGCCCAGTGATCTCCAAGAGCTAAAACCCTTGCAGTGGTGGTTGTGCAAATAGAAAAAGGAGCCATTTCTAGTAATAGGGACGAATAACAAGAAGGAACTGATAGAGATAGTGGCATAGGTGGCGCAATGAGAACATGAAGAGATAGACCGACCTTCACCAAGCTTGCCTTCCCCACATTTTCTTGCGATGACTCTGTACCATTGTAAACAATCCAAGCTAGGGAATCACAAGTATGAGGAAGTTCAATGAGTTTGCGGATTTATTTGAATTGAAAGAGCATTGTTACAAGTTCACTTTACTTGGTTGAATTTTCAAAACTCCCCGATCTGCTCTAAACTAGACAAACTCCTTTTTTTAGTGGATTGGGGTGTTTTGTGGGAGGATTTAATTTGACGAGGTTTGATGAGAGTGACTTTGGATCATTGCCCTATTTGCCTATCTTAAGAAACTTTGCATGTTGGCCCCTTGCCATTTAGGTTTGAAAACATGTAGTTGGAAGATCCTACTTTTGTAGAAAAGGTTAAACGTTGGTGGCAGGAGGTAGGGAGTAGAGGTTTGGAGAAAGGGATTAACTTCTTGAGGAGACTTAAGGGTTTAAAAGAGAAAATAAAGGCATGGAACAAGATATATTTGGTAAAGTGGAGGAGATCAAAGAAAAAATTATTTTGAAGGATTGAGGAACTAGATAAGAAAGAAGCTCTTAGAACTATGAGAAGTGAGGAAAGGTAGTGGTTAAAATGTGAGTTACAAGAGGTGGATGGCAATACAAATGGGAGAATCTTTTGATCACTCTCTCTTTGTTAGGCGATGGCCTTAGGGCATTACCATTCTCCTGCTGTATGTTGATGACATGTTGTTGACTGGGAATGATGTTGAGGGTATTTGTGAATTGAAATTGTTACTTCATAATTCCTTTCACATGAAGGACTTGGGCCCTCTCACCTATTTCCTGGGATAGGAAGTTTATCGTAGTGATCAAGGGT